GGGAAAGAGATTTTCTGGTGCACACGGTCTGAATGCACCGTATATTTGCAGGACGTTACAAAAAGTCATAAAAAGTGAAAGAAGGTGCTCTCATCCATGGAGTAAGGTCAGGAGAGAAGGATGAGATGGGAGTACAAAGCTAATCTGGGCAATTGGGATCTTCTTTTTGAGGGCATTGGAAAGTGTTGAGTAGGGGAGGATAGAAGGTTCGAGGGAAAATTTTGCTCCATAGCAGATGGCCAAGAGGAGCAAACAGTGACCTTCCAGCTCCTCAAACTTCAGGCTTTTTGGACCTGGGTTTGGATTTGTAATAAGTCCTGCTGTAAATAAACTGTTCACATGCTTTGCTGTATTTTTTACAAAATACAGATTTGGGGAGGGAGATATATATATATTAAACTTACATCTGCTTCCCAGAAATTGTTACCTAATTTTACCTGCTATTTGGGCGAATTAAAGTGGAACGAGTAATTTCTTGACCACCAGAATTAAAAAAAAAAAAAGAAAAAAAGAAAAAAGGGGATCAAATTATAAAGTATTCTCATAAATAACTGTACAGAGCTGAAATCTGCTGTGGTTTGGTGCATGTGGGTTTGATTAGCTCAGGAGATGGACATTGCAATACTGCAGAGTGATATTTGAGCGCGACAGCCTTTTTGAGGATGTTGCTAAGCTATTCCTATGTGAGCTGCCAAGGGCAGCTGGCTTTATGAAGAGGCAGGCTCCTACAGAACTGTGCCTCCCTCTCGCTTCAGAAAGGTGCAAACAGGCTAAGCTCCTTCTTTCAGGGTTTTCTGCAGCCGATGTTTTCTTGATGCATCCCAGCGTATGGATGTCTGCATGCGCGGTAGCCTGTCATGTTATCCAGGTGTTGTGGCTGAGGCAGAGAATAGAAAGGGGATTGGGGGGAAGAAATCCTCAGGATTTACCAACAGAGAGGGGGCTGAGAAAGTAAAACACTCGGCATAAGTATTTTGTGTAAAGAGAAGCATTGATTTAAGAAGCATTGATTTAAGAGAGGGAGAAGAATTCCATTGTAGCAGTTGGGTTTTCAGACACTTCTGTAGCAAATGGCTTAATGGTCTAAGCATCTGGTTTGAAATATCTCCTTTCCCTCAGGCCATCAGCTCAAATTGAGGCGAGCTCAGTTTACACCTTTATTTTCAAGCAGAACATTTGGGCTGAATGTCTCCTTGGTTATAAGATTTTTTTTTTACCTAGGTAGTTCCATTCCTTTTAGCTCACAGGCTTTCATGCCATCTCCAGGGCAGTTTTTTTGACTTGACCTTAAAAATTGCAGTTCAGCCGGCTGTACTGAAGGGTTGCTTAAGAGGATCCTTGTGTAGCAGAAGGGTTTGTTGAGAACTTCTCTCGTGTCCTATCCCTGCTGCTGTGCAATGTTTCTTGCGTGGTTTCTTGCTTCTCTTTCATGCATCTGACGAGTGCTTCACCTTGGAAATTATATCTCAGTTTGGACTGGAAGCTGATGTGTGAGATAACTGTTCGGAGGGAAAAAAGCCTTAAGCAGTGAGCAACACAGGAGTGTTGCATCCGTCGTGCAAGTTTCATGGGTTTTTACAAAGCAGGACTTAACTAGGTGCCTACATCTTGCTGTGCTCTTTGCTATGTATCATGCAGAGCACTCCCCCAGACGTATTCTAATAAAACCTGGAGGTATATTTTCTTGTAAGAAAGAGGCAAGTCTGAAACAAGAGTCATTGTGATCATTTTTTAAAAATTGCTCATGCTATCATGTATTGCTGATATAATGATATTCTCATTGCTGAAATCATCTTTCTAACAGATTCCTGCAAATTTTGTGGTATGCCGCACTACAGCTGGTGACCTACATGCTGCTGTCTGTATGTTTTTTTATATGAGGAATTTGCGTTTGGCTTAGTTTTCTCCTCTTTTATTTATTGATAGCATGTCTTTAAGAAACCAAGGAGAAAAGAACAAATAGCAGGGAGTTTTATAAGTCAAATGATGAGAACAGAATTTAGCCAGCAGTATAGTAATTGAATGGGAAAAGCAATTCCTCCTGTTGTAGAGAGGTCAATCAAAAGATTAACCAAAAAATACTTGCTAACGGCAGGTGTTAGAATATGTCCTGGGCAAAACGAATCCTTCAAAATTGCTAAGAAACTCAGGGATTTTAAGATTTAACTCAAAGCGTTAGAGTCAGTGAATCATTTCCAATCACTGCATGAGGTTTGTCAATCTTTGCTTTGTTTTTTTTATGTTTTGCATATGTATAATTGCACTCGAACTTTGTCATCCGTGGTGGTAAGGGGGTGAGATCTCTGAGCTCGGTTGCCTTTGGGCTGTGCCGGGCCCATGGCCTGGAGATGCTCTGGGCAGCACCAGCACTATCCGTTCAATACAAAACTGTGTGGCAGCTGCTGCTTTTTGTGGCATATGGAGACTTCCTTCATCGCGTGCTCCGTTGCCGTCTTTTCCCAGCTCTAGGCCTAATCACAAAGCAGTTGACGTAGGCATAACCTTAATGGCTTTTAGTCACCTTAGGATCTCACTATATAAGCAAAGGGATCCTTCATTAGTCGGCTGTATTGATTTTACATTGGTTTTATGCAATTGCAGCCTGCTGCAAAAGAGGTCTTACTCCACAGGGTTGGATGTCATGGAGCTTTGGTGAACGCTGTGTATCTCCAGGGATAGCTCTGCTGCTCGCAAGATCAAGGGCTCTGGTGAAGAGCCTGCCTTCTTAGGGGGCATCTGTGTCCGCTCACTCAATAGGTGACCTCAGTCATTCTATAGAAATATTTAGCCCAAATAACTCCTTCTGTGATCTGGATTTAATCTGATCTGTTTCTCAGGCTGGGTCCCCATGGGTTTATTGCAATCAAAGGAAATTAGGAAAGAAATGAAAAATAAACCGCCCTGCAAAGGGAGATGGGAGCCTTGCAGAATTCATAGCGCCTTTTGTAGTGCAAGGGAGAAAAAAAGCAGCAGAAGGCAAATATCGTCTGAAAAATTCACTGAAATGTTCTGTTGTCTTCAGCCTCTTTCCACTGCCAAAGTAGGCTGAAAATCACAGCAAACTGGGAGCGAGGTGACAGCTTTGTCATTTTTTTAATTGGTTTTTCTCTTTATCTTCATGACTGACATGCTCAGTGCTTTACTTTCAGAACTGTCAACTTTTCTTCCCAAAATGCTTTCAAATGCTGCGGAGTTCCTGTTAAGAAACAACTATGTCAGATGTGCCCATCTGTTTCTGATACAGCAGTGTGCACAAGGACCTGAAAAGGGAGCTAATCCCTCCCTGGTTTGCCCCACTTTTCTCCAGTTTAAGTAATCCCAGCCCTAGAGCTTTGGTTCTCCTCTGTTAAGGGCTGTGAAATGCCATCTAACATGGGTCTCTGTCTTCTTGGGGTTAAGAAGTGGTCTAAAGAGAGACGTGAGCCAGCAGGTATCTCTGGATTTCACTTTTGCTGACTTTGTTGCCACTGTAAAGACATTCAAGATGCTTCTTGGCTGCAGAAATGGGCTCATTCTCGCTGAGTAGCCAAACCAGAGCACTTCAGTAAAGCTGCTGCTCTGGTTTTTCACCAGCTACTCGGTTCCTCGTCACGTATTTTGTGCGTGGTGAGGAGCACAACCCATTGTGCCTCGTGGCAGGGCACGTGGGCACCATGGCGCTCTCGGGAATGGGCTCGTGCTGTCAGTGTGGTTTTGCTTTTGGCATATTCCAGTTTGGAGCGCTGGGGGTCCCTCGAGACGTTGAGTGGATTGAGGGGAGCTTTAGGTAAGCGCCAGTTGATTCAGCACTCCAGGAGCCAAGAAGAAACAGAGCTTTCTTGTTTCCTAAAGAGTACGTGTACTCCAAACCCTTAATTTGCACCCTCCGCTTTTCCTAGTAAAAGAGGCAGCGCTGCTTTCCAAAGCCTGGGATACTAGCAGGGCTTTATTCCCTTGTGCCTCCCTTGCATCCCCAGGTCAGCTGTAGCGGAGGGGTGTTACTCACTCGTATTTCCCTCAGGTCTTGACAAGTGTGTTGTACCAAGGAAGTGTGCAGAAAGGGATCGAAATGGAGCTGGGGGCGTTTTTCTGTTCTGTGCACAGTGCACGTCTGAGAGGCTGTTTTGTCTTACTATGGCTGCACATAAGAAAATCTCCAGAGTTTAAGGGGGGAGAAAATGTGCATTAATAAATACGTGATAGTGTCTTGCAAATAAGACAAGGTGAAAATGCCCCTGCACTGGGAGAGGAGCAAGAAAATATTATCCATCAGCATTGCAAAGTCTTGCAGCCGAGCTAGGAGGGTATTGGAAAACGAATCCTCTGGATATTTTCCCAGGACCAATCTGACGGTCTCGTTTTGCTGCTGAATGTTGTCTTACTTATTCTTAGCCTTGGCCACCACTCATGCAGCAGACCGTCATATTTAGGCACTACTAGTAATAATAATAGTAATGGTAATTTGCAAAATGCCTTTTTCTAGAGCTGGAGGGAGGAGTGGGACTGACGAGCAAGGTCAGTCTGAGTCCCCGCAGTGCTCACAGAAGTGTTGCAGAGATGTTCCCTGGGAAGAAGAGGGCGAGAGCAGTGCCTGTGTTTTTTTCCATACAGCACAGCTCCTTTATTAGCTTTTCTTCTGGGCTGGCTTGTTTGGTTTCAGCAACTCACTGAGATCTGCACATATTATTAATGGAGTCAGGAGCACAAGTGAGCTGGCTCTTACCCACCGCCCCACTGTTATCGCTAGCACACAAATAAACTATGGCTAAATTGCAGAATTAATCATGCTAAATTCTTGGGCCCTGATAAGGAGACTGCCACTCTATTTTTATTTATTGGGAGCCTGGGAAACACTTTAGCAGAGTTCCTCCGGATGTGCTGTTTTTCTGGGCTCCTATGGGGTCACATCAGATGTTATCATGACTGTGTCAGGGCAGCATTCCTGTGATGATATCCGCCTTATTTGGCCCCACTGCTAAGGGAAGTGGGACAGAAAAACTAGTTATGCCTTTGCTATGGAGCAAGGTTGCCTATTATTCAGTCTACCTGATGCAAGGGAGATCCCAGGGCTACCTGAAACAGGCAGAATATTTGGGAGTAGTTTTTGTTGACCAAAACCTTTCTTTCTAGAAATGAACTCTGAAAATGATACCTAGGTTTAGAAGCCACATCCTGTATGGAGCACGGGTAGGCTGCTGTGCACACAGGCACACTCAGCACTGTAAGCATCGTAAACCAGAGTCATAAAAAATAACAAACATGTCTGAGGAAACCATGACCTGATTATAAAAAACATTTTAGTTTCATTGAATGAGCTATTTCCTGAAAATGATTAACTCGTGTGTAGTAATAAATGAACTACTAACTCTCTCCATTTGATCCTCTGAGTTTAGTCCATGAGACAAGATTTATGACCAGACCCATTAACTCTTGTGTTGGCAAAATGCTCTTAGTTGACCACACGACTCAGCTTGGAAGGTTTGTGGCCAGGCAGGTACTTCTTGCATTTCACTTGGAGGAGGGAAAACTTTGTGAGTGTTTCACCCAGAAAATGCTCAAGATAAGGTATCAGAGCGATGCTCTGCTGATGTATGCAGTGTTGTGCCAGTCTTCATGAAATTAAGTCATGGCCTGACTGAAGCCTAAAGAGAGGATGAAAATCCACTTAAAGCTTCCAGTCCATTCTGCATTCATGCTTCTGCTGCCAAATGGAATAGCTACGAGATCGCTTGTGTGTCTATTCCTGCGTGAGAGAAGGCCATATGAAGAGCAATATCTCATCCTAACTGGATATATTATGAGGAGAATGGAGGACCTTGCATTTTGCTGTCTCTGTGGATTTCAGGCAGTCTATTGCAGTCACGTTAGGCAATTTGAGGAGACAGCATATATATTTATACATTCATTTTAATAGTCCAAATTCCTCCAGTGAGAAAGGTATTAAAGCATATATAAGTGCATTATATAGGAGATTCAGTCAAGCCACAGTGCCAAATCCGGATTTTAGGGTAGTTCAGCACCAGAGATCAGCTTTAGGCACTCGCGAGTGACAGAGAAATGCACTTGTGCAATGGCTTGAGTTGGTAACTCTACAAGAGATCTCCTTGTTTCTTCCTCGAGTTGTTTGAAAGCAGACTTAACGGCATTAAAAAGCACACCTAAATAATAGAAACACAGCTAAGCTGAAAACACTATCCCATTTTAGGGTTCAACATCAGGGAGAGCCTCGTTATGAAATATTATGTCACGGTCAGCCCGGGCAACGTTCCGTGAGGGGGACGTTTGGAAGGAGAGCTCCGATGGCTCTGCTGTCCCTGGGGCTGCTCCGGAGGCACCTCCTCTCAAAGCGCGTGGGAAGGGGTGACGCGCCCGCCGGGCGAGCAGCCGCCGACGCCAAAGCGAGTCTCCGGGAGATAACATCTTGGCAGCATCCGGCCAGCTAGGATTTCACCTAGGCTGCATGATTTAAAGCAGGTAGGAACTTTTTTTTCTTTCTTTCTTTCTTTTTTTTCTTTTTTTTTCTTTTTGTGGATCTTGGACCTTAAGGCCAAGCAGTGCCCTGAGGTAGAGCCCAAGCCTTTTGAAGTCATGAAGACTGCACAGTTGGCTGCACTGCTAAATGTCTGGAAAGATTTTGTCTTCTTTTTTTCCCCCATTTTTTTCTTTTTTGTCCCTTTTTCCCCTCCTAAAACAACTGAAATCAGAACACCAAAGGACTGGGTTTGGATGAGTATCTAGGAGGTGACTTAAGCTGCGGACACATTTCCACAAGCCTTATTTGATCATTTGTGGCACTCAATGTTGAGTTGAAAAAAAGCAACATGCTAAAAGGGCATCCTGGATCAGGCACGATCTCTGCAGTTGAGCAGTGCGCTGAGCGGGCCTGGTCTGCAGAGACACTCACCCTGCGCCCGAGCAGCCCTCGGTGGAGGGGACAAGGTTGAAATGAGTCTTTTGAGATAGGGATGACAGAGACTGAATGTCAGGAGCTTCTTGAGTCTGCCCATGGGGTGAGGGACAAGGTGGGACCGCAGGCGAGCGGGTCTGAGAGGTGGCTCCTTGGCAAACAAACTGGGCGACCCCTCTCTTGCCCTTGGGTTTACTCTTCCAACCTCTTGCACCTGGGAATAGTCTGTTTTGAGTTCATTCTTCCACCCACAATCAAAATGCCCTCTCACATCAGCTGTGTTTACAAGATCAGACCCCCTTCTTTGGGAAGATGAGTTAATCTCTGCTTTACTTACCCAGCAAATCGGCCCAAGAGAAAATGGCCAGAAAATGTGTTACTGGCCTGCAGACTCACTCACCTACCATTTAAAAATGGATGGAAAGGGTTTCCCTATTTTTATGTAGAGTGCAGATGAATAAATCTTTAATAAACATCCATTTTTTTTTCCAGATAATGCATCTTTTGAGCTACTGGGAATGCTAGATCACATACAAAGAAGAGCTTCAGTACCAAAAAGAAAAGAAAAGCTCATACAAAATTTCAGCCCTGGGAATTTTACATTTTAATCAGTTTGCTTAATAAAATGCAATAAGGCTATTATAGTTGTCAACAGAATACTTTTCAGAAATCTAGCACTTACAGCTGTCTCATTTATTAATGTAAATCACAAAAATAAATGGTAAATACAAAGCATTCAGCTGAAGTTGCCTTAACTCCCAAGATGCTTTCATATGTGATGGTCTCTCCGGCTTAAGTTTATAGTGACAGCACTGCTGAACTGATGTCTTTATGCTGAAGTTTTAAATAATCCTTAGAAGAAAGGAAGAATCATGGCTGAGGATTTGAACTTGGAGTTATAGACATCTCAAAGAGAGTGAAGTTTGCCCCAAAAGACATTTTACCGCCGCGTTTTTTGTTTGCAAGCAAGGTTGGCTGGTTGGCATTTAAAAGTCATCGCAACCAGCTTGTGGTGGTAGCCATGAAAAGTAGTTGTGTGTATTATAATAAGGTAATAAATAATACATCTCTGTCTATATCTATCCATCCATCCATCCATCTGTCCATCCATCCATGTAAAACTACTCCCCTTGACTGTGAAATTGCAAGTAGCAAATATCCGTTATAGGCTGCATGTCCTGGAAATAATTCTGAACCTAAACCTGGGATTTAGCGGAACTCGTATTTCCACGAGGTTTGGTTACGGAGCCAGGTTTTGTGTGCGATGCTGAGTATCGCATGTGTACACTGAGTGTGTACGGAGAGAGACTGGCCTCCAGGTGCACGTGCAGCCCTCTCAAAGTGGACACGGATGCGGTTGCAGGACCTGCCCCGTCCCTTCATTCTGGCTTGGCTTTCACTTCTGAAACGGGGCTGCTATGGGGTGCATTTCCCTGGTGATTTGCAGCGAGCTCAGGTTTTCAGCAGGGGATTTGTGGCTGGTTCCACTGTTGGCCACTCTCCATGGAGCCCATTAGAGCTTTTATGCTATGGTTTAGGCTAAGAAATTCTATTTTATCAGGTTTATTGTCCTCAAGGTATCAGAGGAATGTCAGATTAGATTATACAAATGAAGATGGCTTTCCTGAAAGCCTGCGAAAGGCTCTGCACTAATTTTACAACTTAGTTTATAAAGCGCTTCTGTTAATATGGAGCAAAAGGGCTGGGGGGCCCTTGCTCTTTGGAAAAGCCGGGGCTCCTGCCAGAGGTGCCCCGGTTGTGGAGCCTATCAGAGAGACCCCGACCATCGCACTGCACTCGGCTGCTTGCAACCCCTGTACGTTTTCTCTGCAAACATCTTCCCTTCTCGGATGTTTGTTTTTGCTGACCCTCTCCAGCGAGGAGGCAGCGCTGCTTTATTAATCTGTAAATCAGGGACATTTAATTGGCTTCTCCGGTTTCTGCATGGACTTGGTCACGTTCCAGGTGAAGTAACGTCGCTTTGAGCAGCCACTGTGATGTCTGCTCTCCCAAGCAGGAGACAGAAAGAAAAGCAGAGATAAGATAAGCCAAACAGAACCGCTTCTGTCATTTCCAAGGCCCCTTCTGCTCTGTGCTGGGCAAAAGGCCAAATGTGATATATTACGTAATATAACAACATGACCATAACCATATCTATATATAATTATATGTATGGTTAATATAAGAGGAAACGTGAGCTTACAGTCGCTTGAATAGAAGGAACGTGCATGTTTCTTTTGAATAAAGCAATAATTGGTAGAAAGGAGGATTCTTCCTCTCTTCCCAGCTTGCTCTAGACTCGCGACGTGCTTGCAGTGCTGTTTACATGTACAGCCACCCTCAGATCAGTGGATAAGGGAGGCAGATGAAGACAGGCTCCTCTGATGATCAAGAAGAGCCTAAAGTATGTCAGGAATGTCTGAGAATCTTCCTAGTGGGTACTGCGGCTAATTAAGAACAAGGAATAGTAATAATAATAATAAAAACGAGGACTGCTGAACTAACCTCAAGGGTCGGTCCTGCATCTCAGCTGTTTTCTCTAGATCTTTTTAAAGCAGGCAACTGCATTTATTTTCCTTTTTGTTTTCTTGTGGTGGTCCCTCCAGCA